TCAGCGAGCAGGTCCCTGGTTCAAACCCCGGTCCAGGGGCCTTTCTGGGTGGAGTTTGCATGTTCTCTCCGTGCATGCGTGGGTTTTCTCCGGGTGCTCCGGTTTCCTCCCACAGACCAAAAACATGCATGTTAGGCTGATTGGTAACTCTAAATTGTCCCTAGGTGTGAGTGAGAGAGTGAATGGTTGTTTGTCTCGTTTGTCTCTATGTGGCCCTGTGATGGACTTGCGACCCGTCCAGGGTGTACCCCGCCCCTCGCACAGTGATTGCTGGACATGGGCACCAGCGACCCCCGTGACCCAAACTGGAATAAACGGGTAAAAATAATGGATGGATGGATATAAAAAAGAAAAGAAAAAAAAGTTTGCCTACTTCCAGTTACACTTTGTTTAAACAGCGTAGTGTTTTTTCAAATGTTGTGTTTTTTATTTTGTAGTTGTGATTTGCACTTTAGGGCCACCGTGAAACAGTGTTCAGATCAATTTTTTTTTTCAGCGGTTCTCACAGTCATTCCAACACCTACACGTCGCTACACAAAGTAAATACCAATAAAACTAGTTTCCAAGTACTTTGCATATAACAGGCAATGAAAAAGCAGGACCATGAAACTAGAGTTGCATTTGGGCCCAAAAAAATCTGACCTGACACGGTCCAGCCCATAGCCATCATTTCCGACCCAGACCCCCACCCGACGAATTAACAGTAATTACAGGTCAGACCCCCCCCCCCCCCACACACACACACACACACACACACACACTGAAGCCACTTAGAGAGGTCAAGGTCAAGAGCTTCAAATCTTTTCATGATATTCCAGGAAATGGGAGCGGAGTAGGAGAAGGCCCTTTTGCCTAGTTCAGTCCTCACAGAGGGAACACTGCAGGTAATAATGTCCTGAGAGTGCACGCTGTAACTGCTGTTGATCTTAACACGTTTTCATTCTTTTTGTTTTTCGTTGTTAGTTCCCAGACTCAACCTCGTCACATCCACTTTGTTCAAGGACATGCACGCCGAGGATTTTAATATAAAACCTCATTCTTCAACAATATTGTTTAGCTTTTGCTTTGGAACCGAAATGTTATGAAACCCAGTCTTCATTGAGCAGACTCAGCAGATCGCAAACACACGGTTGTTGTGTTCTCTTTGAGCAAAGATAGCAAACTTTAAAAACACAGCATCATGCCCATAATGAAATGTAAAAACATTTTAACATACATTTTAACTAAGCTCCTGATCAATGAAAATTGGTTGTTCATGTTAATATTTTGTGACTTAAAAGAAAATTTTACACAAAATACATTTCAGGAATTTTAAGTTTCATTGAAATATTTAACGTCAATTATTTAGAGATATTTTCAAAAGAACATTGGTGTGAATGTGCAGCTAAAAATAGCATGAAAGCAAAAGGGATTGTGTCGGGCGGGTGTTTATCTTGAGTGCTCAACCCTCTTCGTGCCGAAGCGTTTCCGCCGCTGGATGCATGGAGGTACAGCTCAGCAAAGCGAAAGAGATCTTCTGATATCAAGAGAGGGAGACAAAGGTCTGAAAAATAGAAACCAAACAGGCATGTTGTTTTTTTTTTGTAGAGCCACTTAGCTAAAAGACGTCGTAATGCAGTGTTGATAGAAACAGCTGTTCTCAGCTCAGTCATGATGTTTGTGCTTCGGTGCAGAAATCATCACTGAAAAGGCGCTAAAGCTAACGACGGCTATCGTCTCTCCTGCTGCAAGTAAATGCTTCAGCTTCATTTTCATCCAGAGTTGAAATTAGCGTGTCGCTAATTTAAGAGTTTTTAAATAAAGTCATGTTCTTGGTAATCAAGAGTCGGAGCCTTTTCTACGAGTTTAACAGGGATTAGTGGTGCCGCTAATGGTTTCGGTGGCTAACAGTAGCTAACATTTCTATACAGGCTAATGAACCGCTGATAAACCATAGCTTTATGTTTAATTCAGTTGTCTCCCAAACTCTTGAGCCAGGTTAAATGTACACGAGAATAAGCTGTATTTTATCTTTAATAATAAGCTTTTTCTTTTTCCAGGTGATCAGAACTGAGCACAGACGGTGTCAACCTGAATGTTTAAAGCCCCCCCCCCAGACCTGAAGAGGCAGGGATCAGTCTGTCACAACACCCCACACTAAATGGGATGCATGCCCAGCTGTAGGAAGTATATCACTCTGCAGAGAAACGAGGAAGCTTTTGTCCTCTTTTAGGGCTAAATTGTTGCAGAAATGAACGAGGGAGGAGTGGCGAACCACCTCCCCCCTGGTACTGAGCCAGTGGTGGATCAAGATACTGGACCAAACACTAAGGACAGTCCCGAAACCAAGACAACACAGGAAGCGCTCTTAGATGGCCCAAAAGAGACACGCAGTTTAGGCCCAAACCCCGTGGAGAATGCCCCTTCAGAGATGGAGGTCAAAGATGAAGTCAAAGGTGAAGCTGTCGTGGACTGGTTTGAGCCACTTGAAGATGACGATGACCCAGACGATGAAAGCCTAGCAGGAGAATCTGAGAGCGTTGCAGGCAGCG